TTTTCAAGGAATAGAATGGCTCCCGGACCGGGCTATATCGGTGCAAACGTGCTGCAACGGAAATATTTGACCCGCGGCGGAATCGGTAAGGAAGCGCAGATACGCACGGAATGGAGAAGTGCAATAAATGTGGAAACGGACACGGAATACAGAGAAAATTTGCAACGCGAATAATCTTACCCGAATCCCGTGAATAATGATAGTCTCTGGTTCTGCGCCGCAACATTACTCCCTCTCGCGACCGTCCGTTATCAATTCTTAATCCTGATTGACTAAGATTATTCATCTCCGTATTATAAACAGAATTGTAGAGGATCTTTCATTTTAATCTAAACAATTATATCGGGCGATATTGCAACAGTTTGATTAGAAGTAATCTCTTTTTCCGTTAAAAGTTTTTCTTGATTATCTTTGAATTAAAATTCTATTAAAGTGAAATCTTAAAATACCCGCGGCTATTTTTTTACATTCGCGCCGAGAGATCGGGAATGAAGATAGATAAAGCAATAAAGAGACGATACTTGGTATAATCGCCCCACGCGTGGCAAACAAATATAATTTTTGATGCGAGGTGCATAAATATCTCAGGGTTACCTCCGCGACGACAAGAAATAAGGGGGTCGTTTACGAAAGCCATTAATCGCTTATGTTTCGTGCCAAGAGAGAAGAGGTACGTCGGCACCCTCCTGTGTGCCATTAACACCGTGTCGCGCTCGTAATCTTCTTTTCGTAATGCAACGACGGAGAAGGTAACGGCGCTTTCGCACCTGCGTTGCAGCTTGCATTTCTTTAACGCGCGCTCTGCAGAAAGCGTCGTCGAAATTTATCGAGTGAACAGACAGCTTAGAAGCTCTCGGCTCTCGAGGAAAAACAGCGGCAATAAGAGCCGGAAATTTATTAGGGCTGCTGCCGCAAAGACGTCGATCGATTAGCACTCGTGACACTTTACTTTAAATAAACGATTGTCGACCGTAAATAGCCACCGATCTTCTTGTAACTGACTGTCCTATAACTGGATGTCGCTTTTGAATTGCATCCTCCTTTTTCCTTTTTTTTTGTCTTTTAATTAAATGACATAACACTCTGCGAAACATTTATTGGATAAATTATTACTCGGCGCTATTTTTACAGCATCTCAGATGTTATTTTTTGAGAATACAAATTGCTACGTAAATCAACGTGTGCGTGACCGTTGCAATTAAATCTCGCGAGATGCGCCCGGTAAACGCACGTCAAGACGCAACGCTTTCCGCCTCGCAATTCAAATGTATCGTCGTTGTTAAGAAGGAACATCGCGATTTCCAATCTCCGGCTACCACGGCCGATTAGCGGTTAATTACTTTCCGATAATTCCGCGGAGCGATAACATTTGGCACGAATCGCGGATCTTTCGTGGGAAGCGGTCGTTCGTGGGTAACGACGATTAGAAAACGCGGCGTCGTTAACGCGATCGGCGGCGTCGATGCGATTTTCCGGGCTGCGAGCCACGACGAGTCGATTCAAAAAAGAGAGAAATAAAGAAAGAGAGAAAGAGAGAGGGAGAAAGCCACCATCATCCCTCGATCTACGCGCGAAATATAATCGGCTCAGAACTGCATCGATACAAAGCGCCCTCCTCTCACCTAATTAATGTCCTCCCATTCCTCATTAAAGTTCTGTGTGAATCGAACCTCCGCGGCAAAAGGGATTAATTTTATTTCGATCTTTGCAAACCTTTGAAGAAAAATCGCTGATGGGGGTACGCGATGCAGCCGACGTGTCACCTTGCGCGTATGCAAATCTTCCCACCGCGCCTCTCTCTTTC